TTTATTAATATATTTTATAATATATTTTTATTTATATACATGCATATGAATATATATTACATAATTTAATATAAGGATATTAAAGCCAGCCTCAGCCTTGTGATGCATTGCTAAGGATGGCCAGAGAGCCCAGCAGGGCTCAGGGGTTGTTTACAACCTTGAACCATGATCTGCACAAAGACTGGGTACTGACAGTGCATAAAACATCCCAGTTCTGATTCTTCTGCTTCTGAGCACAGACTCTGAGACAAATGCTGTGTCCTCTAGTTAGAGAATGTGGTTATGTGAAGCATATCTTTGAGGCAGGGTTTTTAAACTGACTTTGTACATCGTTAATTTTACGTTCTGTCTAATAAGCTCTGTTCTAGATTAATCCCTAAAGGCCAAATATTATTGCTGTTACATAGACCCAATGTTCTTTTTTATAATTGGAAAGTTTCCTCAAGGAGAAGACAGTTTTGCAACATTCATGTTAGCTCTTCCAAGGAAGAAATCTGCCCACAAAGATGCTTATCTTGTGAACTTCTAGCCGTGTCCTTTTTTATTTTTTTTTCCTTTCCTGTAATTCTATTGTTCCAGTAGAGTGCAGCTGTTTCAGAGAGTGGAAAGTGATGATGTGTCCACAGAACAAGGAATGGTGCTGAAGGTCCTAGCCAGTAGTTCCAGCTAAGGAAGTGGACACAAGCCAGTAGAGGGTTTATGTAACTTCATCTCCTTTTGTGCTCAGCACTAATCCCTTTCTTTGTGATGTATGGTGTTTTGAAATTTTTTAACTTTTTTTTTTTTCCCCAATACTGATATAAATTTCAGGATAAGGAGTATGACTGCCTGGTTTATTTGATTAACAGTTTAAAGAAACCAGAAACAGCAAGCTTTGTCAGTCAGCAGGAAATGTTCCAATTCTGAGAAAACCAACCATTCCTTTTTCTGTTAACAACTGAGCAGTTATCCACTCCTGCTTTTCAGGAACACCCAAAAGTTGTCCTCAACTCCATCAGTTTTTGGAATAAGCAAAGGATGCCTGGAGCTGGTAAATTTTCCCTTGTAATACCCTTACTTTTATGTTTGTAGATTTACCCAAGTTTAGCCAAATTCTCCCTGTTGTGACACTCATTTGAATCCCAGTTAACTCCAAAATTTGTTTGGGATTTATGCTAGTTTTCCTGAAGGAGTAAATTGGTCCAATTGGTCCAAATTGGTCCACAGTCATCATGGAGGAAAAAAAACTACAAAAAAATCCACCAGAACACACAAAAAACCCCAAACAAAAACCAACCCCAAACAAACAAAAAACCACCACACCAAAACCCAACTAGAATATTAAAATCTAATGTTACCGCATTTGTGGATTCAAAAGGATAAATCACATAGTGATCCCTCCCTCTGAGGCTTCAGATTCTTTGGCCAAGTGTCTATTTTTTGGGTTTAGGATTTTTGTCCAACATGTGGGTAATTTGCTGGCCCATTCTTGAAAATGTAAGGCTTCCCATTACAGATAACCTGGGGTTTAGAAGCTATAATTTTGCAAATGCTACATTTTAATCTGCGTGCCTTTTCCCTTCCAAATCTTTCCTTCACGCCTATGTGGTCTGACTTGGTTCCAGAAAAAAAAATCAGGATTGTATTACATGTCTCTTTTTTCCCCCAAAGTTGGCCAGGACACTATTGCTTTTCTCCTGCATGGGAGTGTAATAATATCATCCACTGCCCTAAAATATCATGTCATTTGTAATCCTGGAGTATAAATCAGGATTCCCTTCTTATCACTCCTGAGAAACATTTTATAAATAATTGAACCTCCATGGATACAGAAAGAACCCTCCCCCATCTTTTTAATAAATAGATTTGAGATAGTTTATATGAAATCCTAGAATTTGAAAAATTCTTGTGTTTATTATATATGGTAAAATGACTTTCTTTAATCATCTCAAATCAGCTTGCATTTGAGCCTTTCCAACTAATTTAGGAGTTCTGTACTTCATTCTGTCAACATCAGAGAAAGCTTCTGTCCAGTTTTTCTTCAAAGGAATGCTTTTTGGAAGACCTTATGATTTTCAGCTCAGTGTTTTCCAGTAGACACTCATTGCATAAGCCTTCTGCTTTGATGGTTAGTGATGCAGGAAATCATGATGTAGCCTTGGGGCTCAGCCACTTCCTGTTCTTCCAGGATTGTGTTCTAAAAGGCAAACAGAACTTTCTAATTAGTTTATTATAGAAATACTTGAGAAAACTCTTTACTTGCTAATTTGAAGGAATTAGATCTGCAGTAGAAGTGCAAAAACCATTTCTGTGTTCATTTGCTGCAACTAGAACTAGGATGTGCTTTGGTGTAATAGCTATCTAAAATCCAAGCACATATTTCAGCTTCTGCTTTTGCAGGCAACTCGTAAATTTGTCTTTTAATAACTACTCACAACTCCTTCCTTTGGTTGCTGGATTTGGTTTTGGGGTTCCTTGTGATTCCATTCACTGCTGGGGAAAAAGCAGGATGGATTCAACTGGAATAAGAATTTATTTAACATGCAAATGCACGTGGGTAGGTATAGGTGGCCGTTGAATCTTAGTATGTATTGTATAGGTGGCCTTTGAGCCATAGTAAAATCTATGTATTGTATAAGTGGCCCATGAGTCTCGGTAAAATCTATGTATTGTATAAGTGGCCTTGCCCCAATCCTAGTTGTTCTTGATGGGCTGCAGCTGTGATGTCCTTAATTGGGTGGCAACTGTGGCTAATGAAGATAACTGGGATAAAAGGGGGTGGGTTGGCTGGTCAGGGAGAGCCTGGGTGGAGTCCTGATGAAGAAGCAGGAACAACACTGCTGTGAGGAGATGATCATGAGAAAACCACCCAGAAGGTATGGGACTCTAGAAATATGATAACAGCAGGTAGGTCTAGAATGATGACTGCTGGAGGAATGATCTTTAGGTCTTAAGTGAAAATAGTGGTTTTATACTTGGAGAGCACCAATTTGTTGCAGTTGGGCTTCTCAAGAAACATTCATTGGTGGAACCTGTGCCAGGTAAGAGCTCAGCTGAATTGGGAGCGAGTTTCATTGGTCATTGTGGAATAGCTTGTATCTGATCAATCCTATTCATACTTACGTGTAATTACATAATCTTGACCTAGATTTAATACATCCTCAAAGTTTTTATCCAAGACTTTGCATCTGGCAAGGGAGCCAGTGTAATTTGTACAGTAATTTGTAATATTTCTGTATTTTAGAAAAGCTGTCCTTTTAAAGAACATTCTGATGACCTCCTAAGAGCCTTTTCAATGGGAATTACCATGCTTTTGTACAATGTGCAATAGTGTTTCATTGTGTATGAGATGGTAGAAAATCACTCATTCTTCCCTCAGAGCTGCCACCAAAATTGGGTTTTGATTGCTAATGGATTGCTGTGAGATAGGGATAAAAGGTCAATTGATATGGTCGTGGAATAATTGAGACAACCTTTCTGAGGGATGAGCAGGCATTTTTATTTCTTTATTTCACCTTTCTGAGAGATGAGCAGGCAGTTTTATTTCTTTATTTCACTGATGCAGGAATAAGGCAGAATAAGTACAGTTGGTGGCTGAAACGGAATTGTCGGTCAGGGATTTCTTGGTGCTCAACTTACACCCATAAAATTGTATTCAGCAGACGTGGAAACTCTGCAGTCAGCTTAAGCCACCAGTGGATCTCACACTTCCCACTGTTTCCTGTTAATTAAAACCCAGCAAATGCACACATTGTGTTTGCTTACACAGATTCTACGAAGCATTAAAAAACTCGAGGCGTGTTAATGGCTCTAAATTTAAAACTCATTAGCCACTGCCCTATTGACCAGCTAAAGAGATTTTCTCAGCACTCCTCTGGGCCAGCACCACTTCATTCTGCCAGGGAAATAGAGAAATGTTTGTTGGCTTAGCTAAAAATGTTTGGCAATGTTGGCAACATCCTTGGGTGAGATAGGGAGGGTGCCCACTCACTAAAGCAGATCTGGCCCAATTAAAGATATTGCCTCTCTTTTTTTCTTTTTTAGAATGCAAAGGAGTTTTTTTGTTGTTGTTGTTTGTTTGTTTTTTTTTTTTTAGTCAAAACACTTGTTTAATCTTATGTTTACTGCCAGAAGATTTGATTCTTTTTTATGGTTTAATTGGTAAAAGTGTATGATTGTGTGTGTGTGCGCGTTGTTACAACCAGGATTCTGGAAAAGCCCCTTCAGAGCTGAATCTTGCAATAAATTGATAAATACAGCTTTTTATTTTTCTGAAAATGGTAAGGTTTGTAATTCATTTCCTGAAGGCTGACCCAGTGTTTTGTGAATTGTGGCTTCATCAAATGAAACAGGACCACTGAGCATTTTGAAGAGAAATTTTGCAATATCAGAGCATTGCCTGTTTCCAGATAGAACTTAACAGTTTCTGATGAAATGTCTTTGAGATCTGATGAACAGAAGGCTTAAAGTACCATCCATGAAACACATATGCAGTGAGAAAGCTATTTTGACATGACACCTTGGAGTAAAGTCCTTGGAACAGCAGTTCCAAATCTGCTTCTCTGGCTTTTGACTTGTACCATTTAAACTTTTCTGTTAACCATCAATCAATCAGTCAAAAAAGCAAAAATAGCTGCAGTTTGGACTAAATAATGGAATCTCAATCATCTGAAATGATGAATATTTTATTATTTTCAGTTCATTAATATTTACAGGAACCTCCAGTAATCAAGATCCAAAAAAAAAAAAAAAAAAAACGGTTGTTTGCAGTGATGCTCAGAAAGGCCCGAATTGTCTTTACCCAGAACTGACTTATTCTACTGTCTTTATTTTGTGAGCTTTTGGTCTTCAATTCATGCACGTTCTACATAAATTCACTGAAGTTATTCAGTGCAGAGCTGAGCAGAGAGAATTATAAATATTGCACCCAAAAGAAAACACGAGCTGACAAAACACAGGTGGAAGGTGTTGGCCATGCAGGTCCTTACCTTTTTCCTGTTCCTCTCCTTCCATGTGCCTAGATCATAGATGAAGAGGAAACCCAGTTCATGAGCAATTGTCCCGTGGCTGTGACTGAGAGCACACCCAGGAGGAGGACACGCATCCAGGTGTTTTGGACAGCTCCTCCCGCTGGGACAGGCTGTGTCATCCTGAAGTAAGTATTTTTAAGCCTTTTTAAAGTAAAATTCAGTTAATAAATTGAATACTTAATTGGAAATAATGGAGTTTTTAATTCTTTTTTTCTTTTTGGATGCATTTTACTAAGTCTGGTTCTACTTGCAGAGTGAAATGTTAGCAATTTAAAGCCTCAATATTCAAAAGGAAGTCCAAGCCTTCAATAAGCATTGAGTCAGCAACCTTAATTGAACTTATTTGCCTTCAGTTTCACGTAAAAAAATCCCCTAAAAGTTCTTGAGTTTAAAATTGCATTCCTCTGGTGGGTAAAAAACAGGCTCTTTGTTGGGATGGATAATAAACATGTTCTGCAAAGTCATGATTGTCTAAATGGACCTTTATCAGAAAAACCAGATTTATTTAGAGGTGAATGCTTTCATTTCAGGCCTAGTGATCATTTACTGATATTTTACTATTATTGCACACTCTCATGTGGAATCATGCTTTTCAAGCAGTAAATAAAGATAAGTCTCTATGTATGTTTACTTTGATTTAGGGTCACTCATTAGTCTGGAGAACTAAAGAGTGCCAGAGAAATGCTGTCCTGTCTCTTAAGACTTTGGTCAAATATTCATGGGCAGTTGGGAATCCTTTGCTTGTTTTGAATCCATGTCTGGGAGAAGCCTTAAAAATTGCTAAGACGTGCCCTGCAGAAGTATTTCAAAGAGGCTTTTCAGTGCTGGGGATGGTGACTTTTAGGCTTTTAAGGAAATGTTATCTCAAAGGTTGTGCTGAAGATAGTTCAGACCAATTCAGGAAAATGGTTTTTTTATAATTGCAATTGATTTGTGAATTGAAAGAATCCCCAGTTTTTCAGCTCAAGAATACCCTTACAGTCTTTTCTTTAGCTCAGCACAGACACGTGCACATTAGGCTGGAACAAAACCTGGAAATAAGTTTGGTAATGTTTATAGATGGAGTTTTTTGAGTGTTCCTTTGGCAATCCAGAAGATTCCTTGAGTCTTGCTGAGCTTTTTATCAGTAAAGCTCCTTGGTCTTCCCCCCAGGACTGACCCCCTCTTAGCTGTATAACCAATATTGCTTAGGGCACTTGCTATTTGAGTAAATTAATAATAAAGTGATGATGCTTTATAAAGAGACAAGAGTTAAAATTTAATCCAGTAATGCTATTCAACAACACAGGTTGATAGATCTAATTTTTTTCCATTACTGTCCTAAATAGGATTGCAATGAGAGAGAAAGATGTTTATGACCAGCTATTTACAGTGTGCTGTGGGTGTCTTTGGTGTGTATGTGCTGCTGGAAAGTTGTAAAGTACCTTTCAGGAAACATTAAATGACAAATAAGAGTTTCCTCCCAATGAATGCTTTGTTGGCCTCAGGAAGTAAGGAACAGCTCCATGCCCAGGACTGTTTAAAGAAAGAATGACCATTATTGAGAGTTGCTGATGCCAGAGATGAACCTCAAAATGTGGCATTTGTTTGTGCTGCAGTGCAGCCCCTCCATGGGCCCATGCATAACAATCACTCCTGGCATTAAAAACATTCATATTTTCTCTTTTGCATGTAAAGATTTGGTGGCATCTGAGTTAGAGTTTGTCATCAGCCTTCTTCACAAACCTTCTTTATGGTCCTCTCCCATAGAATAGAATGGAAATTTTGGAAGTTATTTATACATCATTATTGGAACATCAGCATTAGAAATAATTATTTCATGGTTATCCTAGATGATAAAAGAAAAAATCTAAAAGCAAATATTGAAGAGTTAAATCCGAACTCATAAGGGAAAAACTCTGAAACCTTGAACTTTAGGGGAAGCAAACCCTCTGTGTTTTTCTTTCTTCTGTATGTGATGGGAGTGAAAATATTTTTTTAATAGTTCAATACATATCTGTGGTGGTGTTCGCAGGGGTCTCAGGATGAGGGAAGAGATGAGAATCTTTACTCCATGTTTCAGAAGGCTGATTTATTATTTTATGATATATATTATATTAAAAGAAAAAAATATATAGAAACTATGCTAAAGAAATAGAAGACAAGATTACATCAGAAAGTTAGCAAAGAAAAGAAAAAGAATGATAATAAAATCTTGCGACTGACCAGGGAGTCTGAGACAGCTGGACTGTGATTCGCCATTAATTAGAAACAACCACATAAGACCAATCAAAAATGTACCTGTTGCATTCCACAGCAGCAGAAAATCATTGTTTACATTTCATTTCTGAGGCCTCTCAGCTTCTCAAAAGAAAAAATCTTAGCAAAAAGATTTTTCATAAAATACGTCCATGACAGACATCTGTTTCAATCCTTACAGACTATGATATCTTTGTTTTAGGATTTCCAAAACAGAATGGCAACATTTTGGAGCCTGTTCTGGATCATGAGGATTTACTTTTTTCCCTAGCCTTGATCTGCTGACTTCAATATATTGAAAAGTTAAACGTAGTCACAAGTTAAATGTAACTGACCCATAAAAACTTATTGCAGTTTCAGTGCCAAATAATGCAATTTTTTTGTAGTGGTACAACTAATATAGGGTCTTCCAGAAAGAATTTTCTGAACTAGTAATGAGGTTTGGGAACAGCTGATTTTTTTCTGCAGTTTGTGGAGTCTGGTAGCTTTGGTAGAAAGACTTGATCAGATTGGTGTGGTACCTTCCCAGCACAAAATGACACAGAAAAATGGGAACCTGTGCCTGTAGGGTTCAGTAAGGGATCCTAAATCATTTGACGTGTCCACGACTGTGTGTAATGCTAAATTACTGCAAAATTCAAAGCTTAGGGGTAAAAAATATATTTAAATTTGACTTATTGTCACTACTTTGCTTTCTAAACATCTTTCTATCTGTGAAGACGTAGAATTGTGAGGAGAAAAAAGAAGAAAATGCATTAACATATGACGTTGTGCAGTAATTGTTTACTTGAGAATAATTCATGCATTTTCTTCATTCCCAACAAGAGATGACAGTGAAATACCCTAAAGGTTTGAATCCTTCTGGACTCTACTGAAACTGCCAGCACTAAATGTGCTTTTTGGATGCATAGATAGCTGAGGCTCCATTTATCCACACATTTAGGCCTGTGCTTGAGTCTTACTGGGAGACCCTCAAGTTTTAAGCCCTCTTTCCTCTTTTTCCATTTGCACCTTCCAAGCTGTCATGGTGTGCACGTGCTGCCATGTTCACAGTGCAAACCTCTTTCTCTCCCTGTTTTCTTTCCCTTGTTTCTTGTGATTTATTGCACACCAACACGTCAAGATGGGAGGGCCAGGTTGTTCCTTCTTCTTCTGATAAAAGTTTCTGGTTGAAAATTCACTTAACTAGGTTTCTGAGCTCTTCAAAATGCATTTGGTTTTTAGGATCTTTTTAGGATCTCTTGAAAACCCACTGTTACAACTTTCTTGAGAAAAATGTATGGGTTTTTTTGCAACGTGCAATTATACAGATAAAAATTACACAAACAATAGAGCAGTGGCAGAGCCTGGTTGTGTTTGTATCATCACAGGGAAGTAGAGAAATTTTTGGGGTTTTGAACCCTGTCTTGGTCAATCTGTTTAAATATATTGTTGAAGTGAATGAAAACTGTTTTAAGAAACACCTTTTTTTACCTTCATATAAACTTTCATGCTCGGTTCAGCATATTCTACTTTTCAGAAAAAGTAGAACAGTACACATGCATTTTTTTTTAATCTGACAGCTGATATTCAGAGGCTGTGCTTAATTCTGTAAAAAAAACCAAAACAACTCCAAGCAATAGAAATTTATCTTGTTAAACAAGGAAAGTCTAAAGTATGGATTTCAAATAGTGATTCGTCCCATTGACCAATAAAAGGATAATAAAAGTTTATTGAAAGCTTCTTAGCAGTGATGGAAAAATCATGTCTTTTAGGTTACTTTGAGCCCTAGATTCATCTGGTTTGTTGGATTCCTCAAGACAGTGTCTCAGCTGAGTGTGGGTAAAGGTCTGACCCTTTGGTGGGAAATACAGAATAGGGCGTTTCCTGCAAGTCCTTTAGAATTCTGTGCTAGGAGTGAGGAAAATTTGGTCAAGTTTTCTTAGCTTGTCACATATTAAAATTTCACGGTAGGGAGGATCTTGTTAATAGCCAAACTGAGTAAATCTGTCAGCTGGTGTAGATCTCAGGGAGAGTCAAGTCCTGTGAGATGGTAATTATCTTCTCCTCCTTTAGCATTTGCTGCTGAGGCTGAGATTAATAGTTAAATGCAGTAAATGATGGCCACATTCAGATAAGTTATATTCAATTTACCATTCAGAGAAGAAACCACAGTTTGCAACTGGCTCTTGAACTAATTCGGTTCTCAGACAACTCATGTGACTTGTATGGCAAATACAGCAAAATTCCTGCAGACAAGGTATTTATTTCTGCCATGCATATTGTGCCTAAACAACCAACAAATTAAAATCTGCTATCTGTAAATGCTGTTTATTACCATCAGCACTTGCAGAAATGCACTGGGTTCGTGGTGGTGTCTCTGCTGTTTGTTTCTGGCAACGTGTTCTGAGCCATCTTGAGGGGAATGTTTTATAGTTCTTGAGGAAAAGTGTGGCGCTTCTTGTTTTCCTGAATATGTAATTATCATCATGATTTTAATTACACTGCCTCTTGTTTGCATGTAATGAGAGAGCAGAGGAATTTTAAAGAATTGCAGGCTTCTAAATAAAAAGTATAGCATATTCAGTGTATATCAAGCAAAATCTTTTAGATAGTTGTGTTGCTGGAGCAAAGCTGTCAAATCCACAAGGACAAATTCAATTCCAGTCCCTGGGTCTGGGCCTTGGATACAACACTCAGTTTCCAGCCTCCTTGTGGGTTCTGACCATCCTCTTCCTCTCAAGCTTCAAAGCTCTGAGGGTGAAGGAACTCCAGTTTTTGAACATTGACCTTTTGATTTCTTGTAGCTTCAAGCATTCTGTTCATTCAGGTCACTTGGCCTGTCACTCTGAGTAAACACTGTGCTGAAATGTGCTGTAGGAGAGACTAAAAAAAGAACGAAGTGTCA